ATATATAGGTAAAATATAAATGTAAAATTTAAATAAAGGGACTCTTAAATACCTATAATCCCTACAATGGGTTTTTTTTTAAAATGTTCTTGACTGGTAGTGTCCCGGTTATTTGCAGCTTAATGACCCCCTTAGAATTGAAAGGTTTTAAACCCCAATAATTTCCCCTCAACCTGAATTTTGGGGATTGGTTTCCTAAGGGTTATAAGAGTGAAAAAATTTTCTTCCCCATTTAAAACTTTTTAATTTTTCCCATAAGTTATGGTGGTTTTTCAGTTCGCCCCGTAAACCAACAAACAGTAACATTTAATTTTTTCACCCCACACGGAGGGACCGGGGTCGCTCCCCGCACGGGGGAAAACTTTATCGTGTTTTCCCCCCACATTTTGCTGCCTAAGTGTCTGGCTTCTTCAAACCCCTTTTTCGGGTTTTTGGGAAAACAGTTTTTGTGCTTTTAAAAATACGGGGCACAAAGCGCTCACGGGTTATTTTTTTGAAAACAACTAAACATCACCTTTGTTTTGGGGCTCCCCAAGTCACTTTTCTCGACCTTGTTGTTTGGTATTGTCCTGTTTTATCAGAGTGCCGCTGGAAAACCCGTTTTTAAAACTCACTCGCATCTCACATTAGTCTTCAATGAAAGATAGAACTAATGAACCCGGCCCCCCCCCCCCCCCCCCCCCAAACTTTTACCTTCAAAAAGGTAATTACTTCCAAATGAACTTCAAACTGAAACTACACCCCGTCACTTCCTTTTATTCAGAAAAAAAAATTTACATGTCTATGGGGCATCCAAAACAACAAGCAGACTTCCCTTTGGGTGTCACAGCCGCCCGGGTCCCGGTGGATTACCCTGGCTCTAGATTAAAGCAGAAGAATCAAATGAAATTTTGGGGGATGAAAAATGGGTCCTACACCCTTTTGTCCCTTTTAATTGGAAAAGAGATAAAATTTAATGAATTCAGAGACAACTTACTCAAATGTTCAAGAAATGGAAAATTTTTATTTTCTACAATGTTATTTGCCCAACCCCCTTTTGAAAAATACCCTGCTTTTCCCACTGTACATAACCTTAACCAAATTTGGAAATTTTTTTTTTTAATATTTTTTTTTCAAGCTTGCCTTGTTTTAAAAAAAAGGAAAAAATTTTTTTTTAATAATTTTTTTTTGTGATTAATTTATGTCGTGAAATTTAAATCATTACAACTGTAAAAGTAAAGGGTTTTTTTTTATTAAAACATTTTCACTGTACCTTCTTCAGCTATCAAAGCTCGCGGCTGAGTCCCTGTAACCATTATGTGCCTCTGTAGTCTTATGACTGGCCATCCACACCATTCATGTCTTGTGTATAATTAAGATAATTAAACAAATTGACTGACCTCACTAAATGTCTCATATCTGACACAGACTCTCTCTATCTCTCCTCTCTCTCTCATCTCCTCTCTCTCTCTCTCTCTTCTCTTCTCTCTCTCTCTCTCTCTCTCCCCTTCCTCTCTCTCTCTCCCCTCTCTCTCTCTCTCTCTCTTTTCTCTGACTTTTTAACTGAAACTAACTTATTGCACCAACTTTGATTTCACTTTTGCTTGCACTGGCTCCCACCTCTACTAACATATAGCTGCACACTCCTGTCTCTTGCTCGCTCTTAATTATCCTTCTCACATTTCTACTTATTAGGTAGTAGATTGGTAGACAGCAACCACCCAGGGAGGTACTACCGTCCTGCCAAGTGAGTGTAAAACGGAAACCTGTAATTGTTTTACATGATGGTAGGATTGCTGGTGTCTTTTTTCTGTCTCATAAACATGCAAGATTTCAGGTATGTCTTGCTACTTCTACTTACACTTAGGTCACACTACACATACATGTACAAGCATATATATACACACCCCTCTGGGTTTTCTTCTATTTTCTTTCTAGTTCTTGTTCTTGTTTATTTCCTCTTATCTCCATGGGGAAGTGGAACAGAATTCTTCCTCCGTAAGCCATGCGTGTTGAAAGAGGCGACTAAAATACCGGGAGCAAGGGGTTAGTAACCTCTTCTCCTGTATAAATTACTAAATTTAAAAAGATAAACTTTCATTTTTCTTTTTGGGCCACCCTGCCTTGGTGGGATACCGCCGGTTTGTTGAAAAAAAAAAAAACATTTCTACTTGCGTACATCTTTCCTCACAGCGCTGTAGTATCATTACGGGTTTAGCGCTTAATTTGATAATATAATAATAATAATAATAATAATAATAATAATAATAATAATAATAATAAGAAGAAGAAGAAGAAGAAGAAGTAGAAAAAGAAGTAAGTAGTAAGCAGCAAGTAGGTACCTGTGTGTTAGTCGACTGGTGTGGGTCGCATCCTGGGCGACAAGATTAAAGGGCCCAATAGAAATAAGACAGACCTCGATGATGGGATACGGATAACCTCCCCCGGGTTAAAAATGCGCAGAACAAAACGAGTTTAATATATTTAGGCCACGTCGTGGCTTCTAAGGCAGAACTGTGCCAACTGTATCAACGATAATTTATGGCCAGACATGATTTGCTTTTAGCGATTTGCAGATAATTGCCGTGAGAATCAGTCTGAAATAACGAATCGAAAATATTCAGAAGATTTAAATGAACTAAGTAGATTTTGGTTTTAACTCCAGACAGACTGGGTAAAGGTTACGGCGTGTAAGCTTTAGTACACCGGAAGGGGAGATCACGTTTCCTTAGTAGTATTTTACACAGGAGGTGTATCTGTCAGTGTAAATATACTGTGAAGTGTTGAGTATCTGCATGTATATAGTACTGAGATGGTGTGTGTATCTGTCAGTGTAATTTACTGAACGTGTTATCTGTGCAGTGTAAATATTATTAACCTGGATTTTACCTGGAGAGAGTTTCGGGGGTCAACGCCCCCGCGGCCCGGTCAGTGACCAGGCCTCCTGTGGATCAGAGCCTGATCAACCAGCCTGTTGGCAGGCTGGCTGCACGGCAAACAAGCGTACTGAGCCACATCCCGGGCTGATCAGGAACAGGACTTTATGGTGCTTGTCCATGCTGCAGCTGATCAAGACCTGCCGCAGGGTCTGTGGTAAATCCCCCTTATGTGTGCTGGGAGAGGCGTTGAACATTGCCTCGGGCCCCTGACACTTATGTTATGGTCTCTTAACGTGGCTAGGACACTCCAGCTTTTCATTGGGAGGGATGGTGCATCGTCTCCAAGTCTTTGCTTTATCGTAGTGAGTGAATATTCGCGTGCAATTACGGTACTATATACCCCTCTAGGATTTTCCAGGTGTAGTATAATCATGTATCTCTCCCTCCTGCGTGATCCAGGGAAATATCAGGTATAGAAACCTCAAGCGCTCCCAGGTAACTATTGAGGTGTTTTATCTCCGTTTTGCGTGCGCGCCGTGAAAAGTTCCTCTGTACATTTTCTATATGTCGGAGCAATTTCACCTGCCTTGAAAGTGTGGCTGTTAGAGTGCAGCAATATCCAGCCTAGATTAGAACAAGTGACCTGAAGAGTCATCAGGCTTGGCCTCCCTAGTTTTATGAATGTTCTCATTAATCCATCCTGTCATTTTTCTAGCGATGAGCGGTATGATAGCGAAATGTTAATGGTCCTTGAAGGTGAGATCATCCGACATAATCAATGCCCAGGTCTATGACTTTGGGTGGATTTCGCTCTATTTTGTGGCCGAGAATTTGTATGTACTCTGATTAGATTTACTTCCTCAATTGTTTCACCATATCGTGAGTAATTAATTTCTCATCGATGAACTTCATAATTGGTTTCTGCAGCCCACTTAAAGATTTGGTTGAATGACCGCCTGGAGCCTTGCAGTGTCTGCAAATGGAACACTGTCATGGCAGACTTCGGGTGTCATCTGCAAAGGAGCGACACGGTGCTGTGGCTGACGTGTGTAGCTGTCAGTGTATATATACTGAGACCGTGTGTATCTGTCCAGTTATTTATACTGATAGTGTGTATCTGTCAGTGTAAGTATACTGAGATGTGTGTATCTGTCCCCAGTGTATCTACACCGAGAGGTATATATCAATAATTGTAATACACACTGACATATGAAACTAATTCCTGTACGTGTAAAAACACTGATGTTATGTACTCCAGGAGAAGGAGGAGGAGGAGTACAGAGTAAATTTAACAAAATTTAACAATGGGTGTAATATTAACAAAACTTAACCTGAGTGTAATATTACAATAATATTAACCATGGGTGTAATATTAACAGTAACATTAACCATGGGCGTAATATTAACAATAATATTAACCATGGGTGTAATATTAACAGTAACATTAACCATGGGCGTAATATTAACAATAATATTAACCATGGGTGTAATATTAACAGTAACATTAACCATGGGCGTAATATTAACAATAATATTAACCATGAGTGTAATATTAACAGTAACATTAACCATGGGCGTAATATTAACAATAATATTAACCATGAGTGTAATATTAACAGTAACATTAACCATGGGCGTAATATTAACAATAATATTAACCATGGGTGTAATATTAACAGTAACATTAACCATGGGTGTAATATTAACAGTAACATTAACCATGGGTGTAATATTAACAATAATATTAACCATGGGTGTAATATTAACAATAATATTAACCATGGGTGTAATATTAACAGTAACATTAACCATGGGTGTAATATTAACAGTAACATTAACCATGGGTGTAATATTAACAATAATATTAACCATGGGTGTAATATTAACAATAATATTAACCATGGGTGTAATATTAACAGTAACATTAACCATGGGTGTAATATTAACAGTAACATTAACCATGGGTGTAATATTAACAGTAACATTAACCATGGGTGTATATTAAGTGATACTCGTGAGTGGGATCATCGTGGCACTACGAGAAACTTGTGCAGCTGCTGCCTTCAAGGTAGACCTTGACGCTGGTCAAGGTGCCCCGATCAGGGGAATTGGAAATACTCTATACCCTTGAATATAACCTGATTACCCCTCATCACCCAAGCGCTGTATAACCAAGTGCGGGTTTAGCGCTTCCCTATAAATAAAAGCACTATTAGACGTGGTCACCTTCTTGGGCTTGTCGAAGGTGATGGTAAAGTCGCTACTGTCAGCCGTCAGGATGGGCTGACTCCAGGTAAACACGTACGCATCCTCGAATAACTTCCTGCCGGGTTTTGGTCTGAAAAGTGAATGTCAGTAATCAGTACAGAGAGAGGAAATAATTTTAAGCTATTTGTTTTGTCTACTTGGTAACTTGTATATACCAGCGTTTACCGTCACAGTGTGGCAAGAGTGAGCCTAGATCACCTGTCCTGTGACTCCTGTCACAACGTGACCCCCAGTGTCCCCGTCATAACGTCCCCCCCCCTCCCAGTGACCACATCTGCTCTCAACTATGCAATAACTCATTACGATTGTAACTAGATATAAACATATAAATAGTTCATTACTGCTGTAAATTGTTGAGCTAATAAAACTTTGTGTCCCGGTCCCCGGACCCATTATTTGCTTCTGTAATAATTTGACTGCCACCCACACCATGAGTACGAGCTGCATAATAAAGATATTATCCTAAAAAACTATGCATTAAGGCTTCCTCTGAAGTCGTCAATTTGCAATGTTTTATAATTTAAAAAGTCATACGTTTTATTGTGATAATTATTGTGTTACACTCACAATTAAACAACAAATGAAAAACGAAAACTTGACAACATCTCGGTCGATCCTGCGCCATTATCAAATCCCAAGTTTGAGTTGTACTTGATAATGGCGTCTTAGGCCAGTTATTATGAGCACTTATACTGGATGCAGCTGACTGATTGCTTCCAGTACAAGTGTGCACAAGTTCGCATTGGATATCCTGCAACACGTCATTTGGCAGGTAACAGTGGGACTATTATTTTTGTCAATCCAAGAACTTAATTGGAGTGGCTCTTCATGCCATTAGCACAGTGGTACCTTGATTCTCTTACGCTCGTAACACAGTGGTGCCTTGATTCTCTCACGTTCGTAACACAGCGGTACCTTGCTTCTCTCACGCTCGTAAGCTCGCTATGTCCAGGCTAAAACAATTTATCTCTGTTATCTTCAAAATTGTGAGCAATATGAGTGAGCACGAGACTCACCTCTCTGCATTCCGTCCCCGGAGAGTGGAGTGCGCTAGGGACTCAGCTCTCTACACTGCTCACCCCCAGGGTGGAGGATGCCAGGGACACACCTTTCTACACTGCTAAGTCCCAGGGTGAAGGGTGCCAGGAACACACCTCTCTACACTGATCACCCCCAGGGTGGAGGGTGCCAGGGACACACCTTTCTACACTGCTCTCCCCCAGGGTGGAGGGTGCCATAGACTCACCTCTCTACACTGCTCACCCCCAGGGCGAAGGGTGCCAGGGACACACCTCTCTTCACTGCTCACCCCCAGGGTGGAGGGTGCCATGGACTCAACTCTCTACACTGTGCACTCCCAGGGTGGGGGGTGCCAGGGATTCACCTCTCTACATTGCTCATTCCCAGGGTGGAAGGTACCATACTCACCCCTCTGCATTGCGCACTCCCAGGGTGGAGGGTACCAGGGATTCACCTCTCTACACTGCTCATCCCCAGGGTGGAAGGTACCAGGGACTCACCTCTCTTCACTGCTCACCCCCAGGGTGGAGGGTGCCATGGCCTCACCTCTCTACACTGCACACTCCCTGGGTGGAGGGTACCAGGGATTCACCTCTCTACACTGCTCATTCCCAGGGTGGAAGGCACCATGGACTCACCTCTCTACACTGCACACTCCCTGGGTGGAGCGTGCCATGGACTCTCTACACTGCGCACTCCCAGGGTGGAGGGTACCAGGGATTCACCTCTCTACACTGCTCATTCCCAGGGTGGAAGGTACCATGGACTCACCTCTCTACACTGCGTACTCCCAGGGTGGAGGGTGCCAGGGAGGTGCGATCACTGTCGTCGTCCCAGGGTCCCACACACACACCATGGTGGCTGGTCACGCTCTTCCGCTGCCCTAGAGACCTCATCTTTGAGGCTGCCATCGCCACTGTGAAGGAACTGATAGCAGAAAAAAAAAACTTAGATGGTCGAACAACCCTTGGATATGTCGCCTTATGCCCTCGTCAGACACTGGTTATTGCGCAGGGGATTACACCTTCACGACCAGGTACAATGCTCAGTGGGGTCTGACAAAAAACTATTGTGACCTATGTAATCCTGTTTTTTTTCCGCTACCGCTCACAGGATGAGCTGGGGGTCTACAATAAACTAGCCGTTCAGGCGGCACAACTACAAAACTGACCTGGTATCATCCAGCAGACATGTGAGGGGATGCTAGATCGGGATGAGTTCAGACCTAACTTTTGCCATTTTATTTTCTATGGGAGGGAGATGCCATGTCTGACGGCAATGTGTGGTACGAATATAATAGAAAGAATTCGTAGTTTGGAAATTAGGAGAGGTGTGAGGTTACCAAAAGTATTATCCAGAGCGCTGAGGAAGAGTTGTTGAGGTGATTCGGACATGTAGAGAGGATGAAGCGAAATAGTGACTTGGAAAGTGTCTAAATCTGTAGCGGAAGGAAGGCACGGTAGGGGTCGGCCTAGGAAAGGTTGGAGAGAGTGAGTAAAGGAGGTTTTGTGTGCGTAGGACTCGGACTTCCAGAAGTATGCGTGAGCGAGTTAGATAGGAGAGAATGAAGACATGTGGGTTTTATGACTTGACGTGCTGTTGGAGTGTGAGCAAGATAATGTTTATGAAGGGATTCGGGGAAACCAGCAGTGCCGGATTTAAGTTCTGTAGATGTTCTGTACAGTGCCTGTACTCTGAAGGATAAGATAAGATAAGATTTCGTTCGGATTTTTAACCCCGGAGGGTTAGCCACCCAGGATAACCCAAGAAAGTCAGTGCGTCATCGAGGACTGTCTAACTTATTTCCATTGGGGTCCTTAATCTTGTCCCCCAGGATGCGACCCACACCAGTCGACTAACACACCAGGATGGGTGTTAATGTTGCAGTTTTATAGCTGCAAGACATTGATGCAGTGAATTATGATGAAAATTTTATATATATATATATGTCGTACCGAATAGGCAGAACTTGCGATCTTGGGTTAAATAGCAACGTTCATCTTGCCATATAGGTCAAGTGAAAATTTGTGTATGCAATAATTTCGCCAAAATCATTCTGAACCTAACAAAAAAAATATATTTCACAGTGTTTGTTTAGTATTAAATTATTGTAAACAAATCTAAAATATATTTAGTTGGGTTAGGCTAAAATAAATTTCGCTTGTTATAATAAGGTTAGTTAAGTTTTCTAAGTTTCTTTTGGTGCAAAATTATAAATTTTTACATCAACATTTATGAAAAAAATATATCTTTAAACGTATAAGAGAAAATTTTAGAAAGGACTTAATTTTAAATGAGTTCTTGCTAATTGACCAGTTTTACATATTCGGCACGATATGTTTACCTGGAGTTTACCTGGAGAGAGTTTCGGGAGAGTTTGTGTGTGTTTTCACCTAATTGTACTCAGTTGTGGTTACAGGGGTCGAGTTATAGCTCCTGGCCCCGCCTCTTCACTGGTCGTTAATAGGTCCACTCTCTCCCTGCTCCATGAGCTTTATCATACCTTTTCTTAAAGCTATTTATGAATCCTGCCTCCACTACATCACTCTCCAGACTATTCGACTTCCTGACAGCTCTATGACTGAAGAAATACTTCCTAACATCCCTGAGACTCATCTGTGTGTGTGAAAGGATCAAAGAAACTGGTTAGACGAGCGTGAATTTTGGGGGTGACAAGCATAATATCTCTGTTATGAAGGACTGATGCAGCTCAGTGAGTTATCGTCAGATTATGTCTGTGTCTGGAAACAGAGATCCGAGTGACGGTAAATGTATGTTTCTTGGAGTCACTCTGCCTTGGTAGGAAGCAGAAGTTGTAAAATATAATATAATATAATATAATATAATATAATATAATATCATATAATATAATATAATACAATATAGTATAGTATAATATAATAAATATACAAAAGGTAGAGTACAATATCAACAAGGCAATTATTCTCGTACACAATTCTGGAAGGTCACCAGCATGGTTACGCCTGTTTACTATGACTGTACCTGGTATTAATGGCGTGATGATTGGCAGGTGTCTGGTAGAGTATGAGGTGGTCATCACCTGGGTGACCCAACTGTACCACACTGTCTTCAGGAGGTACCCTTCGTACCTCCTGCACCGCCCGGTGATATGCTCCAGAACACCCGCCCATCGCCACTGTAACAACACAATGTTACCTTCTCAGGGTCAGTACCTGTTCACTCCATTTGTATTGTTGAGGCTGTAGTTTGCCTGATTAATAGTATCAACATTAATGTACATTGGTGACAGGGGCTACCGAACACAGTGACATACATCTTAAGCAAAATGTGTTTACGATGAGCCATTAGATAGTACTCACTGGGACGTGGTTTAAGCGGTGTGTCTTGGTCAGTGCTAGCCACACTCTTGCTTCCACTCTTCTCACTTGAGGTCTTCTTTTTAGCGGCAGGTCTTCCTGGACCTACAGTAACTTTGGAGGTGTTTTTCTTGACAGGATCTCCAGTAGTCTTCTTAGCATTACTGGTATTCGACACTCGAGTTATAGGTGGATGCGTTTTCTCCTTGCCCACAGGGATTTCGGCTACATTTTTACGCTCTGTTTTGGTTTGTGTTTGAGGAGCAGGTTTTTTGGCGAGCCTCGTACTAGCCAGGTGTTTGTCCTTGTCTTGCCTGAGTGGTCTTCGTGCCTCGTCCCAACAGTCAGGGTGTGGAGGTGGGTGGTGGAGTGGGGTGGGCGGTGTGTACAACTCCACACACTCCTGCAGCAGCCTCGTCACTGACCCCCGCCGCTCACACTCCACCATTGTACCATCACTCCCATACTCCACCAATGTACCATTACTCTTATACTTGACCACTGTACCATCACCCTCACCCTCAATTAGTGTGGCATCACCCTCACACTTGACCATTGTGGCATCACCCTCACACTTGACCATTGTGGCATCACCCTCACACTTGACCATTGTGGCATCACCCTCACACTTGACCATTGTGGCATCACGCCCACTCCCTGCTCACAGCTTTATCTGAAAATAAGGTAATATTTATTGTTATAATTTCAATGCAGGTGTCATGTTAGTGACATACGTACTAGTTACAGAAGTATACCTAGAGTATATCTGAAATGCGCTGGGAGACACTGGTCAGAGAAATAGCAAGCATCGAACTTAAGCTAAAAGAATCCTTTAGGAGTCAGGAATCGCGGGAAGAACTAAAAGTCATAAATGAAATCGAAAGAAACCCAAAGTATTTCTTCTCCTATGCCAAATCAAAATCGAGAACAACGTCCAGTATTGGGCCCCTACTTAAACAAGATGGGTCCTACACAGATGACAGCAAGGAAATGAGTGAGCTACTCAAGTCCCAATATGACTCAGTTTTTAGCAAGCCGCTAACCAGACTGAGAGTCGAAGATCAAAATGAATTTTTTATGAGAGAGCCACAAAATTTGATTAACACAAGCCTATCTTCCTGGCCTGCTAGTGTACTCGCATATAATCTAGTGATACCAGTGAATAGCAGAATACAGTGTTGTTGGCTAAAGTGTCATTTGAAAACAGGTGAATTTGTAAATGAAGTGTTAAGCCTATAGAGGCAGGTGCCAGAAGTCGCCAGAAACTTACCACAGGTCAGCTGTTTTTAATAATCTTCCTGGCCTGCTAGTGTACTCGCATATAATCTAGTGATACCAGTGAATAGCAGAATACAGTGTTGTAGTAGCAACTAACCAGTATTATAATGGTACTTAGTGAAGTGGAGTGACTTTCATTAGTTTCTTTTTCTTGAAATACCAGACGTTACTGTGAATTTCATATAACCTGTAGTTACCAGCGGTCGCAATATACACAACGAGAAGCATTATTACTACAGAAAAAGCGCCCTTCCTCCAAAATTTGCACCAGTCAACTATAGTGATAATATAGCATTTATTGTGGTGGAGACGGAAAAAAAAAAAAAAAAAAAAAAAAAAATAAGAGAAGCTAGATACAGCGATTGATAAACAAAGGTGGAGGCTCGACCGTTCGTCATTGTAGGAGTGCCAGCAGTCACCGGCTCTTCAACACGCAAGTTATACTTTTGTATCAATCAAATCACATATTACTCGGGTAGATAATTTCCAGTAGATCCTTCATGTGTTAGCTCAAATCACCGACCAGTATGGTTTAAATAAGTGACCCACTGATCAGATCAGATAGACTGGTCCGAACCCTTGACTGGTCCGAACCCTTGACTGGTCCGAACCCTGGACTGGTTTCAAACGGTTTCGTTGTGCACCACCTAGCAGGTTATTAATAGAATATTCAAGAGGTTGCTAGTAGAATTGCAGTAAATCAACCATTCAAATCATTATGAAGCTGTGTGTAGTCTGTGGTCAGTCAAACAAACGGGCTTCCACATGCATAAATTGTCATTTCTGTGGAAATTGGTGTCACGCCCCTTGTGCAGATATCCAAGAACTAGCTACAAGCAGTATTAAAACAGGGAAGTGTTTTTGGGTATGCCCAAATGAGATAAATCTGTGGACTAAAATCACAAGGGTATTAAAAGAGGTCAACATCAAAGCTGCTTTCATAGAAAACCTGGAAGCTTTCTACAACAGATGGGAACATAAAAAGTCCGGGCTGAATGGTACTGCCCTTGATACTGGCCATGTAGTCAGAAACTGTAAGGCTGGAGATGATGTCCTGGTAGTCAGTAAATGGGGGGCTGATAGTGCTGTCCTGGGAGACAGTAATGGGGAAGCTGGAGGTGCTGTCCTGGGAGACAGTAATGGTGAAGCTGGAGGTGCTGTCCTGGGAGACAGTAATGGTGAAGCTGGAGATGCTGTCCTGGGAGACAGTAATGGGGAAGCTGGAGATGCTGTCCTGGGAGACAGTAATGGTGAAGCTGGAGATTTTGTCCAGGTAGTCGGGAATTATACGCAGGAAGGAATACATATGAATGACCTCATAGGGACAGGAGCCATAGTAGGGAAACAAGTGTAGTCAAAGATAAGATAAAACCAATATTGCAAACTAGAAATACCGCAGGAAATAGCAAACAAGAGGACTCCACTAGCAATAGTGAGGATATATTACCAAAAACAAATGGTGGGAGCTCCATTGTTGGTGCTAGGGAGGATAGAAGTAAGACAGGGAAACATGCACCAACAGGGAATACAGTCACAGAAACCCAAGGCAAACGGAAACCAAGCCTGTGCACATACTATGCACTCGGTATCTGCTGGCATGGGAAATCTGGAAAAACAGATGGGACGTGCAACTATGACCACCCTAGGAAATGCCATGCCATATGACAACAGGAAAATGCAAACTCCCTTCCTGTAAGCTTTTTCACCCTGAAATGTGTACCTCTTCAGTACAGGAAAGACTGTGCTATAACTTAAATTGCCAGGCATACCATCTAAAGGGACAAAAAGATACAAAACATCCAGGCCATGGGAAAACCTGGGTAGCCACAGCCACTCAAGAGGGAGAGGTTTTTTAGTGCCAGGAAGGAAAAAAAACTGGCAGGAAATGGCAGAAATCGTACACCAAATCCAGTCATTCCTGGAGTGGAACCACAGTCGATGGCCTCCACTCCAAACCAACAGATACAGATACTAATGCCGGAAAAAAAATCCCCCCCCAGTACCAACAATACCACCAGTCCGATAACATTCTTCTTTGCAAATATACAGGGTCTAAAGCCAGCAACAAACAACAAAATACCTTTCATCCGTGGACTGCTTGCAGAGGCAAAGGCAATGTTCGCGGCTTTCACTGAGACCCACATAAAGGATCACTTGGACAACGAAATATGGATCCCAGGTTACAACCTATACAGATGTGACAGAGTGAACAGGCAAAAGGGGGGGGTTGGCCTGTACATTGCAGAGTCACTTGTTTGCACAGAACTGCTAAATGCCTCATCCCAGCAATTCCAGGAACAGCTGTTAAAAATTGACCACTGTCTGGAAAACCTTCCAGCTCCTGCACCCAACATCTTGCTCCTGGGGGATTTCAACTTAAGGCACCTAAAATGGAGGAATATAGCAAATAATATTGTTGCAGTAATAACACCAGGAGGCAGCTCTGATGAAAACTCACACTCACGCGAGCTTTTAAATCTCTGCACAAAATTCAATTTAAACCAGCAAATAATAGAGCCTACTAGACTGGAGAATACACTAGACCTCATCTTCACTAACAATGATGATCTGATAAGAAATATCACCATATCAAAAACAATATACTCAGATCACAACATAATTGAGGTTCAGTCATGTATGCGCGGAGCCCCAGACCGACATAAGGAGATTAGTCCACGAGGGAGCATTCACCAAATTCAACTTCAATAACAAAAACATAAAGTGGGACCAAGTAAACCAAGTCCTAACCGATATAAGCTGGGAAGATATACTAAGCAACACAGACCCCAACTTATGCCTAGAACAGATTAACTCGGTGGCACTCGATGTATGCACAAGGCTTATTCCTCTAAGAAAAAGGAGGAGTAGATGTAAAACAGAAAGAGACAGGCGCTCCCCTTTTCAGGCGAACGGAAAAGAATAACAGAGCGACTAAAAAAGGTCAATATATCTGAAATGCGTAGGGAGACACTGGTCAGAGAAATAGCAAGCATCGAACTTAAGCTAAAAGAATCCTTTAGGAGTCAGGAATCGCGGGAAGAACTAAAAGCCATAAATGAAATCGAAAGAAACCCAAAGTATTTCTTCTCCTATGCCAAATCAAAATCGAGAACAACGTCCAGTATTGGGCCCTACTTAAACAAGATGGGTCCTACACAGATGACAACAAGGAAATGAGTGAGCTAAATCAAGTCCCAATATGACTCAGTTTTTAGCAAGCCGCTAACCAGAAATGAGAGTCGAAGATCAAAATGAATTTTTTATGAGAAAGCCACAAAATTTGATTAACACAAGCCTATCCGATGTTATCCTGACGCCAAATGACTTCGAACAGGCGATAAATGACATGCCCATGCACTCTGCCCCAGGGCCAGACTCATGGAACTCTGTGTTCATCAAGAACTGCAAGAAGCCCCTATCACGAGCCTTTTCCATCCAATGGAGAGGGAGCATGGACACGGGGGTCGTCCCACAGTTACTAAAAACAACAGACAGTAGCCCCACTCCACAAAGGGGCAGTAAAGCAACAGCAAAGAACTACAGACCAATAGCACTAACATCCCATATCATAAAAATCTTTGAAAGGGTCCTAAGAAGCAAGATCACCACGCATCTAGAAACCCATCAGTTACACAACCCAGGGCAACATGGGTTTAGAACAGGTCGCTCCTGTCTGTCTCAACTATTGGACCACTACGACAAGGTCCTAAATGCACTAGAAGACAAAAAGAATGCAGATGTAATATATACAGACTTTGCAAAAGCCTTCGACAAGTGTGACCATGGCGTAATAGCGCACAAATGCGTGCTAAAGGAATAACAGGAAAAGTCGGTCGATGGATCTATAATTTCCTCACTAACAGAACACAGAGAGTAGTCGTCAACAGAGTAAAGTCCGAGGCAGCTACGGTGAAAAGCTCTGTTCCACAAGGCACAGTACTCGCTCCCATCTTGTTCCTCATCCTTATATCCGACATAGACAAGGATGTCAGCCACAGCACCGTGTCTTCCTTTGCAGATGACACCCGAATCTGCATGACAGTGTCTTCCATTGCAGACACTGCAAAGCTCCAGGCAGACATCAACCAAATCTTTCAGTGGGCTGCAGAAAACAATATGAAGTTCAACGATGAGAAATTTCAATTACTCAGATATGGTAAACATGAGGAAATTAAATCTTCATCAGAGTACAAAACAAATTCTGGCCACAAAATAGAGCGAAACACCAACGTCAAAGACCTGGGAGTGATCATGTCGGAGGATCTCACCTTCAAGGACCATAACATTGTATCAATCGCATCTGCTAGAAAAATGACAGGATGGATAATGAGAACCTTCAAAACTAGGAGGTCAAGCCCATGATGACACTCTTCAGGTCACTTGTTCTATCTAGGC